CCTATAATATATGCGTTAGGTGTAATTTAACGGTGGACTAATCTGTGGTTTTTTTTTTATTTAAGCTACCAATATAAAATTATTACAGCTTAACAATTACAACTAAAGATCTATGGTTATTCCTTATTATCTCTCTTAATATCTTAAAAAGAATTTGGTTTACGTTTACAGTTGCTATTGATAGGTATACTCTCTAAATTTCGACGTATGAAATATCCCAGCTTTATGACGAACGGACAAACAATTGTATAGGAGGGTTGGTGCTCATCGCAGTTCCCCGACACCAGATTTTCCGACGAAAAAGTAAGGGTCGTTTTCTTAGCTTAGTTGACTTTTATAAATTATCAATGCAAGGTAAATTGCAAAGTCCTTCAAATTGTTGTTAAGCCTTCTGGCCCGTTCGGGGGACATATATTATACTTAATATTTTGGTTTGAATATTAAAATAAAAAGATATTATAAGGGGCACTTAAGCACTTTTGAGTTGTGATCACCCTATCCATATCATGGATATCTGTTGGTACATCTAAGTATACTACGGCAGGTACATTTTATTACAACATAAAAAAATGCTCTTGGACGATCTATTCCCATCCCCCAACCACAAATAACTTTGTCGATTGTTGTATATTGATGGTTATATAATTTTTGGTCGAAATTATAATTAAGTACCGAGGTATGTATGGGATATATAATAATTATTGTAACACTGACATTGACATTATACCTACGCATCATTACCCATGTCCACGTGTATATATAAATAGAGAGAGTGGTAGTATCTTGCATGTGATTCAGTGATTGTACAGTATGTATAGTTGTATTCAACTCTAAAGTAATACATACCTGATAGACCTACAATTAACAATGGGTCGTGTGAAAATTTTTGACATTATCTTACACAACACTACGCTTACCTACTCGTACAAGAACATAAGTGATCCTCGTCCCCTCTTACTTCAATAATGCAGTTTTACGAAATCTGATTTTGCAGGAATTTTTAAATATTTTCTATAATATTATAGTCAATCACCCGACTACAATACGTGCACATACTTACGTATATAATATGATATTGGTGACTTATAGATAGGCATATGTATATATTTATAATATTGAATGTATTGTAAAAAAAAAATGTACACGTCCGTCATCTGTGGCCAAGTGTTGACCTTCTCACAAGTCCCTATACTCGTGTTCGTATACCTACCTCTGTGTGTGTGTGTGCTTATATTACTGCAGGTTTATATATTATCTATAAAACAGCGGTGTTGCTCAACGAGGACTTCTTGATGAAAAAACAACGCTATGCGATCAGAGGTCAAACGCGACACTGACGCAAAAATTGGATATAGGTCATCGCGCCCAATATCTTCTGAAGCAGCCATTGGTGCAGAATCATGATGAATTGATCACTTTGGTCACAGGTAAATAAACAATTTATAAATAATTTTAAGGCCTAATTATTCATAAAAATATTTAAATAGGTCAATCATTTTAAGCTATTAGTTTGTTTTTTAAATTATAAGTGTTTACGGGAGTAGATACCTATTTTTTTTTTTATGCTTAAAATCGAGAACCGGAGGAGGAACCATGTTGCCAATACTTCTCCTCCGGCCCCCATCGTTTATTGATCAATTATCAATTACACGAAAGAATTAGAAGTGGTGGGCTAATCTCGCACCCACTAACTATTACATTAACAATATTAAACAACATTAGTTATACATTGTGCTCTTCTGCGGCCTGCCGAGCTCTTTCTTCCTCCTCCTTGGCCGACAGGATATCCTCCACCATTCTGTAGAATAACCTGAATACCTCCTCGGCCTCTCTCAGCAGCACCGATTTTTCTTCGGGATCCGCCGGGAGCATCTCGAACGCTGGTCCGCAGATGATGTCCGGGAGATCAGCGACACTCGGTTGATGGCCCAGCCGTGCGCTGAGGTGTACGCGGAACCCCCGGGAGTAGGTATCTATATTCTGGTATATTATAATACTACTATACCAGTATTATTGTAATTATTGGTACTCGAGTAAAAGAATCATATGCGTATCTAGGGGAAGCTTAGCCCCCTTTCAAGATTATTGTCTATTTCGTTTAGGTAAATGTAATTGCGGTGCGTATCATAATATTGAACTTGACGTAGCGAATGAAAATATAACACCTACTAATAAGATCACTTTTGTAATTATTTATCATAATTCATAATCGTGTTTCCCATCACAACATAGTTAGTAATATCATTTTGGATTCAGAGTTTGTACTTTTGAGGGATAAAAATTGAAAATGTTCAGTAATTTTCTTAATAATAATCTAGAAAAAAAAATATGAAAAACAGCAATTTTTAATCAATACCAGTTTTTGACAAGATCGATATTGTTTTTTTAGTGAAGTTAACTCAAAAACAAATAACGGTAAATACCTACTGGAAATTTTCACTACATTTTTTATGCTTTTTGAGTTATTTTAGACGTATGACATTTTCAATTTTATGTAGTTTTTCTACTTTATATTATTATGTTGATATTTCCGCATAGTCAAAGAGTTGAAAAATTTAATACATTCCTCACAAGTTATACTAACCCATGACAAAAAAATAGTTTCAACAGAAAATCACATTAAATTTTTGTAGGTGTTTGTTGTAAAAAATATATATTTCTCAATGGCCACGATTCCGAGGCCTATCTTTAACAACGATCACGGTTATAGTTACTGCTATAGCAGTAATTTTAAATTTGGGGTAATTTATTTGTCACTACTGCTGTAGTAGTAATTTACAGAACCATGAAATCAAGCATTACTGCTCATGCAGTAGTATTTTCAATAGCGTTAAATGAAACTAGAAATGTAACTGACCTGTTATGCTTACTCATATGTTTGGGCAAAGATAAATATAAGATTCTATTTTTATATAATTTGTTGTCGTATTTTCATTAATTCGAGTGATTTTTTGAGGAGGGTAAATTAATTATACTAAAAATTAAGTGTCCATGAACGTATTAATAAAAACATTAATAAATAAATGATAATTATCCTTAATTTGTAATCTTAATATTATTTTAAATATTTATTTAGATTTTGATTGAATCTAATTTATTTTAGTTGGGGACAGTAATTTTATTAATATTTTATGAGTTAGATAGTTTAGTAAGTAATTAATGTTTGTAATATTTGCCTTTATCCAACCACTAGAAACCAGTGAGTACTCATTTACTCTGCAAACTGCTAATTATTATTACACAACGAGTATGTGTTTTTATAAACCATGCTAGAAATATATAAAATGTTTTATAACAGGTATGATAACTATAAGTATTCTATACAATATGCTAAAAGCATTTGTGGTACTAAAATCATTGGTTCTACAACAATATAGGTATGCATTAAAAAATGTTTCTCAACCTGCGCGGTACTCGTACCACAGTTGGTAACTGGTACTCGAAGGAAATATCGCTATATAAAAAAAAATTGAAATTATTATTGAGGAGATGTCAGGCTACTGTTGGTTTTCTCTCTCTGGCCCACGCGCAACAACTTTATGTTTTTGAGTAGATAATCTTAGTTGAACCACCCACTACAAAAACGATAGATTACAATTTTAAAATTTTTATTTTTATTTTGAAAGTCGAATACAATGTCAAATTATAATAAAGTATGAAATCGATGTTATATGTCATAGACTCATAGTCTTAAATATATTATCCTCTTATAAAACAAATATTGCTCTGACATCCTCTTAAAATATCGGGATTATCCACACAAGCTTTACAGTTTATAATTCCTTATTCTGTGTCAATATATATCCGAGAAAAAAATACATTTTCTTGTAATGCTTATGAATTATTTACTTATTATAATATTATAGATACCTAGTTACTTAACAAAAAATGAATACTATTTTATTAATTTTGTATTGTTATTTATTAATAATAATATTCATTGAATAGGTACAGCTGAATAATTTGAACATATGAAATGATTTAAGACATATGTCACCAACATAAAGCCCGACATTGACGTCCTTGATCGTTCAAAAGGTATCGTACAAATTGTACATTTTCATAATTATGCAGTTTCTAAATTCTTAGTTTAAGGATTCACACATGTAAAATAACATATAACCATATAGGTAAAAGTTTTTAGATCAAGTGGTAGGCACGCGAGAAATTTCAAAATGTGGCACTAGAATTTATAAAAAGCTTGAGAGCTGCTGCTTTAGAATGTTTCTATATACTTACTAGTTACGGTTCTATATGCAATATGCATATTAGCAAGATATGTGAAAATAAACCTCACGCAATAATGTGTTTCTCAATAATACATCCTTATTAATTGATACGCACATACTTTGTAGTTTGTACATATTGTTATTATGTCAATTAATATAGCAAATTACATCCAATATTTTAAGGTGCGGGTGTTGGGTTTCAATATACGATGTACTGGACATGGATAATATGGTAATAATCATGAAAATTACCTTATTACAATAGTAAGTAGTAGTGGTCGAATCTCACTCAAGGCCTGAGCAGAATGCACATAATTAATCTGTTATTAAGACTTATTTTAATATGTATAAGAATGCTGCAATACGCTTGTACCTATTATAATTTATAGTCATATAAATACGTAAAGGAAAATATATAGTATAGTTTAAAGCTCGTAGACGATAAAGTACTATATAAATATACAGCGTGTTGCAGGAAGACCAGACAAATTGAATAATAATTGTTCTAATCATTTGCATTTATTATTTACAGCCGCTTGCTTCAATACACGTATAATAGTATGTCCTTTTTTGTTTCTATTTTTTAATACTCAAAATAAAAAAATTGAAAACTGATATAAATATTTTTAGGAATTCCCAAAATAGCCATTTTGTAAATCTATTTTTTAGAAAACTTTTGACTGTAAAAGTCAATTGGTTTATTTTTTATGACTTTTTAATTGTCCACTTAAAAGTCTTATCAATTCGAAAAATAATAACTTANAAATGTAAACAGTTCTGAACAGCACAAACCTATGAAAAGTAGTGGTTATATTGAGACAGAAAGTAAATTAAAAATGTAACTATTTTATATTTGAAATTAAATATTTGTATTTTATTATTTAATAGATAGTATTTCTGAGATGAATGCTGATATACTGTCATCTAAGAATAATGAAACTGCTGATGTTTTGTTTGAGCCTAATGATAATCCTGGGTAAGTTATTTTATGTTAATTTTTTAATAATTACTTGCTAGATACCTAAATTATTTTAATAATTTTAATATAAATAAACACTATTCTAATATTTATGTGTACAAATTTGGAAGATGTAATAAAATAGTTATAAAGGAATTAAGTGATTAAATAAAAATGACATAATTATTAATTTTGTTTTAAAATAACCATGTTCAGTGCTTGTTGTCTTTGTAATGCTTTTACATACCAGTCACTTAATTTTAGTATTTATAGATTAAAATTTAATCAATTACAATATAATAGTTGTTATTTTTTATAGATGTGATCCTGCTTTATGGAAAATAAACGAGTTCACTATAGAATATATTTGTATTAACGGATTTTCTCAAGATTTAAATGATTTAAATTTTACCAAGTCTAAACGAGCATATACAAAACTTTACAAAAAAACGACTAAAACCTACTATAGGTACAAATTTAAGTTTTTGTAACTAATGATATTATAATAAATTTTAATAACTCAACCTTATTTTATATTTAATTTTAAGGTTTTGCAATAAAAATTATTGGAATACAAGACTAACTAATGGTGATTCAATTAAACGTAATTTCATTGCATATTCAGAAAGTAAGGGTGTAATTTACTGTATCCCATGCTTGTTGTTTGGCAACATACATTCACCTTCATTTGCTTCAAAAGGATTTTCAAACTGGAAAAGAGCTGAAGAGCTCATATCACAACATAAAAATTCTTTAAAACATCGTTCAAATATTCTAGCAATGAAAAACCGGGGACAAACACATCAAAGAATTGATCAACAAGTAATACAACAAATTGAAAATGAAAGTATATACTGGATCAACGTTTTAAAAAGAGTTGTGGCAATTGTTAAAACATTGGCATCAAGAGGTCTAGCATTCAGAGGACATACTTCAAAAATTGGATGTCCACATAATGGAAACTTTATGATGGCACTTGAGTTATTAGCTGAATTTGACCCTTTTATATCAAATCATATTTCCAAAAACGGTAACCCCGGTAAAGGTCATACTTCATATTTATCATATTATATTTATGAGCAGTTTATTTTATTAATGTCTAAAAAAGTAGAAAATACTATTATTCAAGATGTCAATACTTCACGATATTTTTCAATTAGTGTTGATTCTACACCAGATATTACCCACACTGATCAACTTTCTTTAGTTGTACGATTTGTTGATGAGAGTGGTAATGTATTTGAGCGTTTTTTATGTTTTATGAATAATGTTGGACATAAATCAGAAGATATGGCTGAAGCAGTGATAACAATTCTGAATAAGTACAATTTGAATCTGAACTATTTAAGAGGGCAGTCATATGACAATGCGAGTAACATGTCGGGTAGTTATTCTGGATTACAAGCTAGAATAAAACTGNCTCAGCAGCACCGATTTTTCTTCGGGATCCGCCGGGAGCATCTCGAACGCTGGTCCGCAGATGATGTCCGGGAGATCAGCGACACTCGGTTGATGGCCCAGCCGTGCGCTGAGGTGTACGCGGAACCCCCGGGAGTAGGTATCTATATTCTGGTATATTATAATACTACTATACCAGTATTATTGTAATTATTGGTACTCGAGTAAAAGAATCATATGCGTATCTAGGGGAAGCTTAGCCCCCTTTCAAGATTATTGTCTATTTCGTTTAGGTAAATGTAATTGCGGTGCGTATCATAATATTGAACTTGACGTAGCGAATGAAAATATAACACCTACTAATAAGATCACTTTTGTAATTATTTATCATAATTCATAATCGTGTTTCCCATCACAACATAGTTAGTAATATCATTTTGGATTCAGAGTTTGTACTTTTGAGGGATAAAAATTGAAAATGTTCAGTAATTTTCTTAATAATAATCTAGAAAAAAAAATATGAAAAACAGCAATTTTTAATCAATACCAGTTTTTGACAAGATCGATATTGTTTTTTTAGTGAAGTTAACTCAAAAACAAATAACGGTAAATACCTACTGGAAATTTTCACTACATTTTTTATGCTTTTTGAGTTATTTTAGACGTATGACATTTTCAATTTTATGTAGTTTTTCTACTTTATATTATTATGTTGATATTTCCGCATAGTCAAAGAGTTGAAAAATTTAATACATTCCTCACAAGTTATACTAACCCATGACAAAAAAATAGTTTCAACAGAAAATCACATTAAATTTTTGTAGGTGTTTGTTGTAAAAAATATATATTTCTCAATGGCCACGATTCCGAGGCCTATCTTTAACAACGATCACGGTTATAGTTACTGCTATAGCAGTAATTTTAAATTTGGGGTAATTTATTTGTCACTACTGCTGTAGTAGTAATTTACAGAACCATGAAATCAAGCATTACTGCTCATGCAGTAGTATTTTCAATAGCGTTAAATGAAACTAGAAATGTAACTGACCTGTTATGCTTACTCATATGTTTGGGCAAAGATAAATATAAGATTCTATTTTTATATAATTTGTTGTCGTATTTTCATTAATTCGAGTGATTTTTTGAGGAGGGTAAATTAATTATACTAAAAATTAAGTGTCCATGAACGTATTATCCTTAATTTGTAATCTTAATATTATTTTAAATATTTATTTAGATTTTGATTGAATCTAATTTATTTTAGTTGGGGACAGTAATTTTATTAATATTTTATGAGTTAGATAGTTTAGTAAGTAATTAATGTTTGTAATATTTGCCTTTATCCAACCACTAGAAACCAGTGAGTACTCATTTACTCTGCAAACTGCTAATTATTATTACACAACGAGTATGTGTTTTTATAAACCATGCTAGAAATATATAAAATGTTTTATAACAGGTATGATAACTATAAGTATTCTATACAATATGCTAAAAGCATTTGTGGTACTAAAATCATTGGTTCTACAACAATATAGGTATGCATTAAAAAATGTTTCTCAACCTGCGCGGTACTCGTACCACAGTTGGTAACTGGTACTCGAAGGAAATATCGCTATATAAAAAAAAATTGAAATTATTATTGAGGAGATGTCAGGCTACTGTTGGTTTTCTCTCTCTGGCCCACGCGCAACAACTTTATGTTTTTGAGTAGATAATCTTAGTTGAACCACCCACTACAAAAACGATAGATTACAATTTTAAAATTTTTATTTTTATTTTGAAAGTCGAATACAATGTCAAATTATAATAAAGTATGAAATCGATGTTATATGTCATAGACTCATAGTCTTAAATATATTATCCTCTTATAAAACAAATATTGCTCTGACATCCTCTTAAAATATCGGGATTATCCACACAAGCTTTACAGTTTATAATTCCTTATTCTGTGTCAATATATATCCGAGAAAAAAATACATTTTCTTGTAATGCTTATGAATTATTTACTTATTATAATATTATAGATACCTAGTTACTTAACAAAAAATGAATACTATTTTATTAATTTTGTATTGTTATTTATTAATAATAATATTCATTGAATAGGTACAGCTGAATAATTTGAACATATGAAATGATTTAAGACATATGTCACCAACATAAAGCCCGACATTGACGTCCTTGATCGTTCAAAAGGTATCGTACAAATTGTACATTTTCATAATTATGCAGTTTCTAAATTCTTAGTTTAAGGATTCACACATGTAAAATAACATATAACCATAAAGGTAAAAGTTTTTAGATCAAGTGGTAGGCACGCGAGAAATTTCAAAATGTGGCACTAGAATTTATAAAAAGCTTGAGAGCTGCTGCTTTAGAATGTTTCTATATACTTACTAGTTACGGTTCTATATGCAATATGCATATTAGCAAGATATGTGAAAATAAACCTCACGCAATAATGTGTTTCTCAATAATACATCCTTATTAATTGATACGCACATACTTTGTAGTTTGTACATATTGTTATTATGTCAATTAATATAGCAAATTACATCCAATATTTTAAGGTGCGGGTGTTGGGTTTCAATATACGATGTACTGGACATGGATAATATGGTAATAATCATGAAAATTACCTTATTACAATAGTAAGTAGTAGTGGTCGAATCTCACTCAAGGCCTGAGCAGAATGCACATAATTAATCTGTTATTAAGACTTATTTTAATATGTATAAGAATGCTGCAATACGCTTGTACCTATTATAATTTATAGTCATATAAATACGTAAAGGAAAATATATAGTATAGTTTAAAGCTCGTAGACGATAAAGTACTATATAAATATACAGCGTGTTGCAGGAAGACCAGACAAATTGAATAATAATTGTTCTAATCATTTGCATTTATTATTTACAGCCGCTTGCTTCAATACACGTATAATAGTATGTCCTTTTTTGTTTCTATTTTTTAATACTCAAAATAAAAAAATTGAAAACTGATATAAATATTTTTAGGAATTCCCAAAATAGCCATTTTGTAAATCTATTTTTTAGAAAACTTTTGACTGTAAAAGTCAATTGGTTTATTTTTTATGACTTTTTAATTGTCCACTTAAAAGTCTTATCAATTCGAAAAATAATAACTTAAAAATTTTTTTCTAAAGAATTTTATACTTTTTAAATTTAAAATGGTTTTTTACGACTGGATTAATTTTACTTTTATAAAATAATGAAATTTCAAACAATTTTAAAATATAAGCTACATGACTAAAAAAATATATAAAAATAATACAGTCAAAATTTTTCTGAAAACCAGATTGACATTTGGCTATTTCAAAAAAAAAATCTTCAGTTTGAAAAATAAAAATAAAAGATGTTATAGTTACTATATGCGTGTAGAGTCAATGAGCTTATATATTATGTATATTATATCATGTAAAAAAAAAATTTTAAAAATATTGATTAGAACAAAAGTTATTTCATTTGTCAGGTCTTTCTGTTTACACCCTGTTTATTTATACACGACCTACATAAATTTGTGAATTATAATCCGTAGGACAGTAGCGCAAGTATACTGTTATACTATTGTACAATATTTAATATCCCCATATAGACATACATGTGTAATAAACTCTTCACGTATACATCTTTTTTACATTATTATGAATACATTTTAGACATTTCATCCGTATAGAAGTCTGTAGGTAAGTATTTTGTAATCCTTTTGGCGTATGAATCGCGTCGAATTACGCACCTATGGCCCTCATGGGTGACAGCGACCCGTAAATGTTTCATGGTTACACCTATTGACCTATGTACTATTTTATTTACTATTGTAATCACTTATCAGTATATATATATTATATATATATAAAGTCGAAGTCGTTCTGCTGCAGATCGAATGCAAGGATGGACTTCGGTAATTGATAAATACCCACCAGTTACGATTAACAGTAACAATATATTATGTATCTATAAATAGTTATTAAATCTTCCCGATTTTCATTACCTACCGTCCTACCATATTATTTTGCTCTTATTGATTTTTTAATAAATTAAATCAAATAATTCAATGTCAATAATATGTTGATGTATTACCTATATTATAATGAATTAGTAGACATAAGTAGGGCCCGGATTTAAATTCTCTAAAAACCATAGAAAACTGTTCTAAAAAAACCAAAATTGCTCTTAAAAATGCATTTTCCACTCAATAATACTCTTCAAAAATGGCAAAAGTTGATTTTTTTATAGGCATGCAACTATGCAATAAAATTATCGTTTAACTTTTGACATTTTTACCTTAGATACCAACGCAATTCGTAAACTATTTCCTAGTTAAAATGTATAAAATTTTCAATTTTCAATGATAAGGTTTGAAAGTTCAAAACAAGTTTTAGTAGTTCTGATGTAACTAAAAAATTATATATACATTATAAACACAGTTTTGTTACAGATGTTTTAAGTTAAGATTTGGTATTTTAATGAAGTATAACAATTTTAGTTATTTTGTCGTAATTTAATAATATTATTTAACCATACTTTACACACACAAAGCTATTTTAAAATGTAAATTTTTAGTAGGTATCTATCATTAAAAAAGTGTTGGACCCCACGAAATTGTTTTTCAGTTACGGCCTTGGCTGGCCCTGCCAGTTAACTATAAAAAAATCTCAGTATAACTTATTGAGATTTAGTAACTAAAAATAAATTGAGCTCATAATATTCTGTCTGTTGAAATAAATAAAAATGAAAATATACTGGTACAACAAGATTTTTTTATTGTGTAACGATATTGTTTTGCTAAAAAATGAATTCCAAGGTTATCTTAATTTTACCTACCTAAAGGTAGAAAGTCAAATTAAAAAGTTTTTTTCGACATTGAATTTTCACACATCAATTAACGAATTATCATCTGACGATTTTTCTTATTTTGTTAAAAACATTTTGAAGTTAGGAACCAGTTCCGGTTGATTTTTTTCATCACTAATTATAAGCATTGATAGTTATTTCACCAGTTATTTAGTATTTAAAAATGGAATTTAAGTTTAGTATTAACTTAAGAAATGTTATTATAAATTAAATGTCGTAATATTTAAATTATCTTACACGCTTTACTTAAGTATATATTGAGTGTATCTTCATAAATAAATTCATAAAAAGATTTTCAAAAACTTACCTAACACAGATTATAATTATAAATTTAAGATAAAAAATAGTTCTATTGTTGGCGGGATGGCTTAACGTTTTTAATCGAGGATTCATCTCGAATATATACGTCTTACATTCATCCTATATTTAGTACCTAGGGGAACTTCAATAGGTTCTTCAAATATATATATATGTATATACTATATAGGTATATATACAATAATATTATAAAGAACAGATTTATTTATTTTTCAAATTTATTAAGAAACATAGAAATATATTAACAAATAACAAATGATTAGAATAACGTGATAAAGAGAATCACATATTACATATTACAGAATGTAACATATTGCATTTTACATGTTACATATTATAACGATCAAAATATGATCCAATTATCCTTAACCTCTTCTGTCTCCAATTTCGGATGAGCTTAATTTTTGCCGTAGGGGGTTGGACGGCTAAAATGTTTTGATGTTGAATGAATATCTTTACACTTCATTGATGTTGAATGAATATCTTTACACTTCAATGTTGTACGTCAGCCGATTCCGCAATGAAAAAAACAATCAATTTATTAAACAAAAGTTAATTCATGTCATTCAAATATTATTAACTTTTTATATTATTTTATGTGTATTAGTTAAAAGTAAACTGCAGTTTAAATATATTAATATTGCAATGCAAAATAATTAAAGTTACAAAATAATATTATAAAATATTTGCTTTACTATACTTACTTAAATAACACGATGGAAATTAACAAGTTACAGAGTTATGAAAAAATTATTATAATTTAAATTGAATATAAATTATATTTAATAATATACGTAAATTAAAATGTGGGTACATATTATGCGAGATTTCAAGTAGGTAAGTATAATATTATTATTGTATGGAGAGTACGAAAAAAAAAAATAAAACAATTCCAAGAACTATAAAATATGGTCATAAACGACTTATAAAAAGTATATTAATATAAGGTATATTTAAAAATTAAAAAATCAGATTTTGAATAACTGCATTATTGAAGTAAAAAAGGGACGAGCATGGTGCTTGGTGAATAACCCTGCAGTGTAATAAATACAATAGCCATAGCATGAATATTTTTCCATTTTAGTAACAGACTATTTACTTACAACTTTCAAGGGATATCAGTGGGATATCACGTTATGGTATATAATGTTTTAAAATATGATAAATTATTTATTAATAAGAGTAGGTACTTACATTATTTTGAGGCTTATTACTGACGAAAAGCCGTACAGTTTTTATCTTTGTTGATTTTTTCGAATTCACATCAACCTCATTTCGGACAGTAACCTATATAGTTAAGTTAAGTTACAATATTTATTGATTGTTTATCATACAATGCACAATGTTGTACGAACCAATACAGCGGCAGCTGATTTATAGTTCCTAGTATAAGGCTCGGCGAGTGAGATTGTAAGATCATTTTTTGTCCGAATCTATATTAATATACAATGATAATAATTAAATGTTTATGATAATATAGTATCATAGTTTTAGTTATAAGCATATGAACCGTTGGAACTGATGGACATTCAATCTGCAGTTTTGGTTTTTTGAGCGGTGACTCTTGTGGGGAACTCATCAAACCCTTTTTGCGTTTCACCTATTTAAATATAACACAAAATTCAATGACTAAAAATGTGTATCATAACATTATAAGTGATTTATATGAACTTGAAATAAGGCGTTTGTGTTTGCTTCCACGAAATCGCTTATAACCCCGATTGGCAAATTATACTTGGTCGAGTTCTTTAGCCCAGCCACAAACTCAGCAAATGTCATCTATATAATAATATAAAATCACAATAACATGTGTCATAGCATAGTAGCTAAGTGTTATTGAATATGATCTTGTAAAATAGAATAGTATGTGTATGTCTGTTTTCCTTAAGGGATTGTCCGTTTAAAGTTCGATAATAAACGTCGCATAATATTGAAATACGTACTTTTTTTCCATCTATACAACTTGATTCTGTTTGCAATTGAGATTCCTCATTGGTAATCTTCAAACCCATAAACATTGCAGTCAGTTCACTAATCTAAATAATATTATCAAATGTCGGCGATTGAACGTTTGTGATTTTAATCAGAGAATAATTTTAAACATATTTAGGTTAGTGCAGTGTAATATTTATAGTGGTGTAATATCAATTTATCGTTAACAATTGGTCGTAATTAAATTTATCGAATTACAATTTACCGAACAATAATTGATCTCAACAACAAAGCTTTATAGGTTATTTCAAGGTGTAAGGCTGTATGCTGTATTTTAAAGTTTTTTTTTATGTGTTTGGTGTCATGTTCAAGAATTGGCTTACAGACAACTTATCGAAATGATCCTGAGTTTTCATTACGAAATCAAATGCTACCAGCATTATAGCTATTATTTCAAAAGTAGATTTGATAAAATGTTATTATGCATATTGCTAAAATAAAAAAAAAAAAAGATACCAATTATAACAATTAGACGGATATTAAAGATTTTCTTCATGTGTAGCAATTTTTATTTCAAGTTAAATTTTTAGTTTCTTCATTATTATATATGACTAAATGTAAACCTTAGTGTATTTAAAAAATTTTTTTTGTATTCAAAGAAATTTGAAGGAGTTGTGCAAAATTGTATCTAGAACATTTTTCAAATAAAAAATTATTATTGAAAATGTTATTTTACCATAACTTGTCGTACGGTTAATTGTAATTGCGGTCAATTGTTTACGATTAATTGACGTGTATCCTTTTTCTGTGTAACGTAATATATTTATCGTTAAGACTTTGTTAGGGATCGAACAGTAATCGAAAGGAGGTTTCAAATTTGTTTATAGTATAAGATATTATACTTATAGTATTATGTATGTATAATGTTAGATATTATACATATATTTATTATTATGTATGTATTATATGAATAATGCGTACTGAATCTTCGACGTCCATTTTATTTCCACGACACGAGCTATCTGAGAACTGGCGTGACATCATAATTATCAAAACGTGAAAGATTGAATTATTGTCTTCCAAAATTATTAACGAGCGTACGAAAATAATATTTCTTAAACTGTTATAAGGAAGTATTAAACTAGACAAATATAATAGTATATGTTATATCCCATGGTTACTATAATTTTTTTTATATTCAAAAATGTTTTCGTTTAAACATCTTATTTTGGCCAACTTAAAGTTAAATATAAAGTTATTATAAAATAAAATGTCTGAAAAATATTATGCTTGTACATTTTAATTTTTTTTATAGTAGTAAAATGATTGTTTGAACCACTTATAATAAGAAACATTTTAATTTGTATTACATTTCCGATCGTTTTTCATAAATTAAAATAAAACATCTTATTGGTTTTTAACTGTACAAAATAATTCGCCAATTTAAATAAGTTAGAACCAAAGAAATCGTTTATAATTCATTATAATTGCTTACGTAATTACCGACATAGGTATATTACAATAACAACCACCAACGATAGGTAATAATAGGCGTAATAAACTACTTCGATACTATATGAATGAATGTAACACTAATATGTGGTTATAAAATATTGATTACATAAAAAATAAAAATGATCGACTAGATTAGCACGGAATGAACCGCTATTCCTTGGTATATGTATAGGTATTCGTCGTCCAAAACGCTATATAGTGTTATAATAATGTATGTTAATATTATATGTCATTTATTCGTACTTATATGTACCGGACCTATTACAATATAATAATGTGTATATTTTTGTATGTGTATTACGATGTACGACTGTCTGCTAATATAATATTACAATAATCGGTCGTAAAAAAGTTGCATAAAGTCATTACAGACACTATTGTTATGAATACTCGAATATGTATTATTGAACACGATAAGCGATAATCGTGTGCTACGGGTATCACCCGCGATTTGAATTTCTACCTGGTGTATGTCAAATCAAAACCGAAAGTGCGTCATTTTTTCGGGACACGGCAATTATGCCCACGGATATAAATTAGCAATTTAAATTACCAAAATGCCGACTCCAACACGTTTCTTGTATCTATAGATTATGAGTAATTTTTAGTACCTATGTATACCAGTTATTATCGGAGAGCGGTTTACCAGACATTGAATTGTGTTTCAATTGCAACAATGTTGTTGGACTTTATGACGATGTCATATTTTTTTTGATTTTTTTGATTTATTTTATACGATTTGTTGCCTTGTGCAGATAGAGACTTTTAATTATTGGTAAGAATGTTGTTTGCTCATTATTTAGTATATTATTTGTGTGATAAAAAGTAGCGAAATCGGTAAGTTGGGCAATATTATACGATAATTTGGTATGAATAGATCTAGATGGAAGAGTTACCCTGCAATATACTGGTTGTTTATCTTTACATCTGTTTTAAATTGTTTTTAGTGGAAAAATATTATGTCCTATGTTTATAATCTACAAACGCACGAGAACAAACAAACAGGGTTCGTTAATGCAAACAGTGTTCACGCACGTCCAATCAAAAGTAACATTATATTCTGCAGAGTGCATGATAAGACAAGTGAGCGTTGGGAAAATATTAAATATACATAAGTATACATCATAATATATATAATGAATTCGATGTATGTTCAAGAAGTGTATGGTTTTCAGATTGGTTGCCATATATATTTTAATTTTAATTGCAGATTTGTTGCATAAAATAGCTTAATAATATTATGTCGTATACTCGTATTATTTGATCATAGTTTATGATATTTTGTATATTTTGTACTTTTTTTTCCAAACCGACCACGTAATACACGTGTATCTTCGCGCTGATATCGTTTTCGATTTAGAACTGTTTAAATGAAAATACTCATCGCCGTGTGCTGTTGCGTTTCGCCTTAATCATTTTTAATTGTTAGGTTTTGTTTTTGTGTATGATAAAATATAGAATAATCGTGCACACCTTCAACACGCATATATCTATTGTAGCACGTCGCGTATGTCGCGGAAGTTTAATTCATTTCACAAGTCATAATATAATATACCTATTATGTTAGGCCTATATATATATATATTATACACGGCTCATTATATATATAGGCAGTACACATGTTATAGTTCAATGTTAAACCAATTTATGTCTTCAGTGCAAGCCCCATGTATGTATGTATTATTATATTTTAGACGCACAGCAGAAATGTCAGAAAAAACCACCTGTTGAGTTTTTAAATTAAAAAGACTTGAACGCGCCTCATCACTACAATATGCGAACACACGCGAGGTCCGACCGTAATATATTTTTAGTTATTTTTAGATCTGCAGAGTAATAACAAATCGTTACGTTTTATGGTTTATATTGTTTTTATCTCGCATAGTTTTCAAAACTTTGCCTGTTTACTACTCTCTTGAGAGACTCTTAACCTGATCTATACACCAATAGTCTGTTTCGCCTGCATAATGCATATTATATGTATAAAAATGCACGAAGTCCGAAAGTGCATCAAAAGTTTTCGACACTCTCTGAGAATCTCTCACGTAATGTATGCAATAAGTTATATATACAGGCGCGAACTTAGGTATGTGGTGGCCCCTGGGCGGAATATATTGTGCGGGCCCCTTGTACATAAACAAGGAAATATATTTTTTTCTTATTAAATAATATTTATTATTATGTTTAGTAGTAGTAACAATTAACTACTATAAAATAATAAATAATTATAAAAACAATCAAATCGAGTATAGAGTAATTAACCTCAGAAGAAGAAGAAGTTGTGTTTGGCTGTGTTAAGAAAAACTCTGTCGACGATGATCGATCTTCTTCCATTTTTAAATTTTAACACTGTTCACTGGTTAATATAACTTATAATATAAGAAACAAATTAAATCAGCTGTAACTATTGTCTATTGTGTATCATGCTACTGTTGTTAACTGACGTCTGACATGCAATAAGTGCAACGAACAAATAACGATTATTTATCTACAGACAGATAGTCTGTAATGTGTATTTTATATTTCCGAAAACTAATCTCATAATTCTGACGATGAATTACCTATATTCTTGTTAACCATCATGTTTTTTACGAAATTTGACATATCATTCAGACCCACGTGTGTATATTTAGAATCACATTTACTAATATTATTACAATCGAAGATACACACTACACAGTGCACACCGATCGCGGACGGCATAAACTATCTTATCTAGATTTTTAGAGACCGTTCATTGTCAATAAACGGAAATACATCCATTATTAGTTAGTAAAATAAAAATTTTTAAATATCCAAAAAAAAGTTCAATATTATTTAATTAAATATCAATAAAATCTTTTTTCCGTATCCTAATTTAAATATCATAAAATTGTGGGGGCCCTGGGCTGCAGCCCACTCAGCCCTCAGTGCGATGGATGTTATGATATGTGTATCCATGAGCTATAGAAGGTGCGACGATAGCAGAAGAGCGAGTTTGGTTTTTAATAACTACTGAGTGCGCCATTCGATTAATTGATTGTATTTTTGTGGGGTGCGGTCCCTTTGCACATATTATATATAATAAATGATAATAACAATAATATAAAACACGTAAAGTATTTGTTTTACTCCACTGTATACAGTAATGAACAGGACTCGGGACTTAATGCATTTGCATATTTGTTCGGGAAGTAATTAGAATAAATCTGATCCGGTACAAATTTGTGTTGTGGTGTTTGGAGTTAAAGTTTAAAAGTTTACTGTGCATATGTTTGCATATTTTGGAATTTTTTTCTACAAATACATATTTTTTAAGAATTATTGATTTTTATTGCATATTTAAAAATAATTGTTGATTATTTACTCTCAAATCAATTTTTTAGTAAATTAATTTTATCTACATATGATTTTGTCGGCAATAATACCGATAAGGTGATAATCAATAGCGTTACGGGGAACCCATTTTATTTTTAGCTCTGAGGACAATATTATTTTTATTTAATCTGTCTTTTATAGAATTATTTTGGTTGCCAGTACTTAGTGATCGACGGACTACGATCGTTATCGTGTGCATGTTCGTCAATCGTTGACGTGTTCATATTTGTATTCGTTATTTTTTGTATTTATTAGAGCTCGTATTTGAGATATAATATGCCAAAAGAAAAAAAAACACAAATTAGTCGATTGAGAAGTTTCATTTTGGAATTTGGGGATAATGTATTTTCCGCAGACGGAAAAATTTTATTTTGCAAAATATGTGAAATTAAAGTAGAATGTGAATGGCGATCTAGTGTAATACAACATTTTATACAAACAGTAAAACATAATATGAAAATGATTAAACGGAGGGAAATGTTCAATACAAGAAGCAGCAAATGATTACACAAACTAATACAACTAAAATATAATTATGAAATGATTATTTTTTATTTCATAAACATTTTAATTGCCAGGTAAAGAAGATGCTGAGTGTTAAGAAATCGAATTTTTTTTTATAATATAGTATGCGTAAAATACAAATTTTTAGTTATATGTACAAGATATGTTTTTTTAACGTCTTTTTAATTAAAAATAAATGCATATTTAAGCGCATATTTTGATATTTTTTTGGTGCATATGCATACGCATATTTTTGAGATTTTTAGCACATTAAGTCCCGATCCCCGGTAATGAATATTAGTACATTTCTCGGCAACCGTATGGGTGTGACTCACTATCCGAGAAAAGTGTACAATATTCGTGTTTTTACACAAATTCTCTTTTCTCCGTTGCATAGATACTGCGCACGTTGTGTGTGGTGCGTAATATGGTAGCTTTGCAACATTGTTTGAATAAAAATTATTATTCCGTGGCTTGTGCGTACAAACATGTATTGTAATAAATATTATGCAGATGGTCGTTTATCGCATCAAAAACACCAACAAAAACGGGCCCGATCCGATCCGACTTATTAGTAAGTGGTGACGTATACCATAGAAGAATAATTAATGTATATGGATTGCGCGTCCCCCACATCCATCTATATCTTAGAGCCAACGTTGTTAGAAAGAGAAAATAATGATAAAGATAACGCCTGTGTGTATATGACGGGGCCTAAAGTGTATGCCATTTCTAAAAATGTTTTTTTCTCTCTCTGTTGTTGTGAGTTTCCATTTCTTTACACGTATATGTGACGCGTACATAATATGTGCAGCAGAGTACGCAGGGGAGGGAGATCAGCCCTTTAAACACTAAAAATTAAACATTTTAAAAAAATTCCAAAAATAAAAACGAAATTGTTTTTCGTTACCAAACAAAGTTTTTTTTATCGTTTTTTTTATGACACGAAAAGTTTTTTTTTTCAATATATATTTGTCTGTGCGTACTCTAAGTTTCCCACGAGTGTTATAATAACTGAGAAAACACATCATAGGAGGTACTTAGTCTATTTTTCAAAACTAATATCTCGTGAGTCATGACAACTGCTGCAGCGTAGTACCTACTAATTATTATTGATTTTCAAGCTCCCCCCCCCCCATTTGAAATATCCCGCCGCTGGACGATATTGCGGTGCAGCGAAAACAATGCGATATCACGATAGCGTACAAAAAAAAAAAACGTCCAAAACTTTCACGAGCCGGATGGACGAAATATATCGCTCGCGGTGGGTGGGGCAAGGACGGGCCTCATCGAGCAACACCGCACGGCTCGCGTGTGTCATCGTCGCCGGAGACCGCAGTCGCGTGCCATATCATATCCACCGTGTTCGGCCGACAGATCTGCGCCGCTTGTGTGCCGTATCGTAAAGCGATCGATATCGTCGTATTTTTCGTTATAATATCATTTCAACAGTCGTACACCATTATTATTAAAATCGCATCGCAGTAATAGTGTGCTGCAGTGTGATTGTCCGACCGTCATCGCCCGGTCGACGCACCCGCGCGATTCACCCTCCGCAGTATATACACCAGACACCTGACGGACGTCCGCGCGCACAGAAGACTGCGATAAAAATATATTGATTCGTACACGCCCTCCGGACTTTACCTGCAAGTATCGATATCGACAGGTCAGTACTATATATATTATACAGTGCATTACAGAGAGCGAACAACTCGTGCACAATATATAATATGTCCACCTCCGACTGCAGTTTTTTGCGCAGCGTGAGTACCCATCGTGTATGTACTGTAAACACTTATTACTATAATTATTGATATGCGAGCATACATAATCGCCTGGAAAAGCTGCCGTGTGAAACATTATAATGTTACTGGGTATTTGTAGTTGTAGGGCTGGGATTTCGATGCGCTTTTCAATGTCGTTTTCCAGAGCTAGCCGTGCTCGTCTTATAACGTTTCGCGGTATTTAAGTATTTTTCAATCAGAATTGTACGATTCCTATTAAGACTTCTGTTTTTGTTTTGCGTTTTTCAAACATTTTTAATTTTTCCGCCGTTTTTTTCTTCATTTTTTAGGGCGCATGTTCAAACGAGGGTTTTTAAATTTTATTTTAAGATTTTCACTCAAAAAGTAACTGTAACGTATGAACAAGGTTTAACAATCCTATAGCCGAATTCGCATACGACGTTAAAATTGAGATTTCGAGTGACAATGGGAAATTTAACTGGAATACATAAAGAAGACTTGAAATTGTGCAGTCGTGGAAAACTTTTTTTAAATTTAGTGACAAATATTTTTTAGTTCAAAATGTGTTAAAAAAAAAAAATATTAAGTACCCCCCACGAACCATGCGCATGCGTGTAAATAGGTTTAATAAGGATATGAGGATAAAAAGGATATTATATGAACATAATTGTATATATTGATATGATCTGCCCGAATACACTCATAAGCAGGGCTCGGGACTTATAGCACTTAAAATCATTCAAATAAGCGCTTAAAAAACTTAAATTTAAAAATTAAAACTAAAAAATTCTAGATAAAAAATCAATAAATAAATAAATCTTATATTTATATAACAAAAAAAAATTTAACTTTCAAGATTTTAAGGATTTTATGGATTTTCTGAAAAATAAAATATAAACAATATTTAAAAAAAATTGAAAAAAAATTAATTAATTAATCAAATATGCGGCAACGTAGATAAGATAAGAATTATTTTTAATTTTTAATCCTATCAAACACAACTTTGCAGGAGAAAACCATAAAAAGACTAGAAAAACTGATAAAATAATCATAAAAACTGGAAATTAGCATTTTTTTTTTAAAAATCGCTGAAAAAAGCAAAAAAAAAGCACTTTCAAATTTCATAATTGTGCCTGTTGTAACATGACATACACTTCCATAGCGATCTGCTACATTTAAGCAAATGCTTCAAGTCCCGAACCCTGCTCATAAGTCATAGTGTTCAAATTTGGTGGGTATCTACCTAAATATTGTATAATGTAGCTAACACCACAGATTCAATCGTCTCGGGAATAGGTACAGAGGAGGAGAAGGAGGGGTGAGCGGAGAGACATGGAACATAATAATATTATGTATAGATGTGTTATTTTGATCATATTGAGTTTCATAAATATCTTAATTATACTAAATGAATCTATACAAGCACTGCAACGAATGTACCAATAATATTATAGCTGTGATTTAAAGTTACTGATCTTTATACGATCTGTCTAATTTACGTAATGTATACATATATTATATAATACCCTAATATATATATATATATAAGGATTCTAATGTCAGGTGCGTTACTATTATAAAAGTGACGTTTAAATTTAAATACCAATCGTTAAACTCATTGAGAAATAAGAATACTGTCTACAATTATTTTATAGGTACCTATATGTGTTACAAGGTCATTCTTTTTATCATTTGAACGTTTTTGATATCCTTATCAGCTAATTTTCATAAAGAAACAATACAAAATAGACATCGGGAGTAATCACAACATGTGGGTAAGTGCGCATACATAATTGCACGAAAACATCGAACTGCAGCGTAAGTGAAGAGAGCGATTATTTCATCGCGTGGATCAGAAAATATCTTAGGAACTATATTAATTATTTAAAAAATACATACTGATTAGTAACTGAAAAAAGGAAAATGGCATGTTTTTGAACGTTTAAAATGTATATAATTTAAATATTTTCTTTTTAGGTGTATTGACTGGATATTGTGGTAAAATAATCTCTCAGTATATAACTGTTTATTAGATTATTATTATTCCTGTTTGGATAATTTGTAATTGGAGCGTACAATTTAATGATAACCATAAATACACTATAGGTATTAGGTACCAAATATCTTGATTTATCAGTGACGTATTTCGAAAAATCGAAGTCCACAAAAAATGTAAACTACCTGCCAGTAAATATCAACACGACAACATAATAATTACGATTTTATTAGTTGCATGCATTGTTGGAGTATAATATTTGTTCACATTACAATTATAAATTCAAAGTACAATAGTATGTTATTCGCCAACACCCACAAGTATATTATAGTCTAAATATTCTAATAAATAGCTTAATATTAATCATAATCGGTAGATATGACGCATCAACAATATAATTATAATTTTACTAATGTACTCAATAAATGCAACGACACGACGAATAGGGGTGGGTCTGGGTTTGTCAATACGCCTTGTGCGTTTTTCACAATAATAATATAACGCGTACTCTAATACTACGTTTATATAATATCTACAAAAAAAACAAAAAAAAAATAAGAAAATTTATGATTTTTTTTTTTGTACGCCTAATAATATAATATGTACGTTCGGACTTTTCGTTAATCGTTTACAGTAGGAAATAATGATAGGTAACTATATTACTTACTTCAGTTTCAGTACGACTCGTGCATAATATTATCGTCTATTCCAGTTTAATGAGCAGGATAAAATGCGTATTAAATTATGTCCTACGCGCTGCAAGTAAACGATGATAGGCATCTACTTAAATTTTATCGCCGCACCGAGTATAGCTTTCGCTTACTATAATAGTTACGCATTCGAAAATACTAAAAGGTTTAAACCACTCCAGTAGGTTACCACACAAAACGCACATATTACCGGAGATATATAATAACGTCTATATGGTAAACGGTGAATACAAATCGAGAACAAATATATCGCGTTTTACGCGACTGCAGAATTTAATTAGGTGGGTACGAATTATCGCGATAGACGAATAGCTGCACACGACTTGCTGTTGTAATACAGATTGGACGGATGTTCGATCGACGTCAACTTGTCTTATTTTTAAAATATTTTTACCACCCGATCTGCAACAATAAGTAGTCGAACAATAGTTAAATTCGATGGCATACACGACGACGGGGGAGAAAAATCAAAATGAAATTACAAGAGTGACCGAGTGAAGAGTCTCCTCCCGTTGAAGGAACTCTTACAATTGGTACCTACTGTTATTAAAACACCGTCTACGTTTATGTGTTTCGGGCTTAAAAAAATAATTTATTCAAAATTGATGATAAGTCGAGTGCAATTACACGCAATGCCTCCCAAAGGCGTAACCATAATAATAGGTAACCTAGGTATATGGTATTTATTTGTGGCATGCATAGTCATGTAGATATTATATAGATTAAAGGTATAGGCACCTGTTGTGTATTTGTGTGAACTGTGAAGTATTGTATACATATCTATATTTTAGTTCAATCGAATAGTTTAAAAAATAAATGTATTAGCGGGTTTGTTATCCTCAGGTAGTATAGTAGTATAGACACTGGTCGCTACAACTCATCATGTTTTAATTGGCTTGCAGACGATATAATATAAAGAATTATGGTCAGTAAATCACAATTATATAGGTAGGTAGACCATGATTAATGTTACATATTATATATATATTTTTTTTTGTATGAAGCAAGTGAATTTAGTATAAATAATATTTTATTAAATGTGTCGCATTATGTAATATACCTATATATATATATTATATATTATATCAATATCGTAATATACATGACATACGCCTATTGATTTTTATTTGTAAATAGTTATTTTATGAACTTTTAATGACATTTTTCTTTTGAGGATTGATATTTGATAGTCTTCTTAAGTCAAACTCGTATGGGTACCTAGGCTTTATTTTTCAAGTTTATTCCATCTTGTGCCGAAAAAAACTATACCTAATGTATGTACATGCGATATATCGTGTGCACAAATTCTAAATTGTTTTCTAAACATAAAATTCTCAATAATTTACAGTTCCAAGTTTTCCTAAATGTCATCAAAACTAAATGATTTAGAACAGCAGTATTAGGCAGAAAACTAGAAACAATAATATTTCACTGAGGTTATAGGAAGTTACACATTTTGTTTTAATTGAACAATATAATATAATGGAGTTAGGTGTATGCAGTATGCGATTTGTGTTATGTAGATAGATTGTACCATGTAAAGGTAAAAGCCAGTAGGTACCACCTAATTGAGTGATATTAAAATTTATTTTGAATAGTTGCGTTACAGTGCATTTTAAACATGTACCTACGTTTAATAGCCGACGACAAAATAGATTTTATTTTACAATATATGTGTTGCGAGTGTGTTTACCAACAAAATAGAATCAATTACAATACTTTTTTTTCTCTCTATTTATGTTGCGTTTGTACAATTACAGGTTGTGATGAAATGAGTTTGGTGGTGTATTCAAGGTCAGAACATGTCCGTTTGCGATTGCTGGGCCAGTTTCAAGTTTTCTCAAATTGTAAGTAAAACGAACAATAAAAGCATAAAAATTAAAAACAATATACCGTAATAGTGACAAAGTCCTTATAATATAGGTAATATATGTATACGAGTGCATAATATGTAACATGTGAAATAATTATTTAATTATACAATATATTGGCGAACAACCTTCGTGAAAACACGGGCTGTGGGAAAACGTCCAAGGTTATAATTTTTTCTTCGTATTGCGTACGAAAAGTCTCCTCGAGACACATATATACTTGACAAAACGTGTACAGTACATTTCCAAGTAGAATATTTTTTTATAATATACGACGTATTATTGTAGCTAAGGCTGACTTATTATTATAATCGTTATTAATTTTGTTTTTTATTCGTTGCGATTTGCAAAATATAAATCATATTATTAGTAATTCTGCTTTTCTTATCTTTATTTGCTATCAAACTGGTCGTATTTTTTTGTATCGAATTTGAATACATTATATGAGCGGCGCATGAGAAAAATAATACGACATGGACATTAATTAAACAAGATGTTATTGAATTTAAGTTAGTTAATTTATTGAATTATGCATGAATATTAGTGAATCATTCTAGTGAGTTGAAAGTGGTTTCTATTATACTTAGTACTTCCATACTATAACTATACTTACCTAAACGTCTATTTTAGTTATACGCATTAAACAGCTATCAATTATTATTACATGCTACATCGCCACATCGGACTCGTTGTTAGACACACGTGTACGGACAAATGACATATGCATTTTTTAATTCTGCTGATCGTTTTTATTTAACCCATTCGCTGGTATTTCAATTTTTTCGACTTGCAGTTGATTTTTTCTCTAAATCTGTTACAAGGATGAAAGAAGTAGGTAAGCCCGTCGGGTTAGAAAACTAGGGAAGAAAAAATAATTTTTCACACAACATTATAATATATTATTATGTATTCAACAACGCAAATATCTAAATTGCCGGTTGTATAGTGTGAATGGAATAAATTGACTGTTGTCAACTATTCGTTATTACATTACATCGATAGGTAAACAACAGAAATCTGCTTAGGAGCCTTTATATAAATCGTCCATCCATATTGAAGTGATATAAAAAAAATTATTGGTTGAGATATCATCCGTGGTATACATTACGTGGTATAATATAAGCGCCACAAATTGCGTAAAACGTAAACTGAAACTTATATATAGTAAACTGTATATATTTTTTCGTCTCAAGTTACTATTATTTACTGAGCGCAATGTAATAAACAAATATGTATCGAATTACTTTTTGTCTGTGGTAGCTAAATAAAAAACACTTTTTTATACTGCGCAGATAGGTACTTATAGTAGGTACACAGGGTGATTCACCAAGCATGAGCAACCCCCTTTTTTTCTTCAATAATGCAGTTATTCAAAATATGATTTTTTATCTTTAAATATACTTCAAGATCATATTTTCAGATTCTTGAGATTTTTTGTTTTACTTATGGAGTGTACTGTGGAAATACAAACTTCTATTTTTCAAATGAGAACACCCCTATTCGACTATGAATTATAGAGTATCCGAGATAATTTTTCTGACATTTTTGACGTATCAAAATCAAATTTCGAGAAGTTTTTTAGTTATTTAACTTTGAGTTCTAGCCGCCTTCTAGGGATAAAAGGTCCATAGTAATGAATTTATGAGATATGGGGGCTATGGTGTTTTGAAAATTGTAGCCATCTATCGGTATTAATAATTTGTAAAAATGACCCAAGTATAATAAATACCATAGATCCAATCTTACTTCTATTTTATATTTATGTAAAACCAGTTGTAAGGACTATTATTCTTAATGCAAACATTTTAATGATTAAGAAACTATTCATTCGAATTTTGAATGTGATACCTACATCGAAATGTTCAAAAAAAAATTGTCCACCAATTAATTTACAGTAAAAGTGGGGGGGGGGTCCTCATTTGAAAAACAGAAGCTTGTATCACCACAGGACACTCCTTAAGTAGGTAGTATAAAAAATTCGAAAAAATTCATTATTAGAGGAAAATATGGGGGTGAGCAGAGCATGCTTGATGAATCACCCTGTACACAAATATTCGCACGATGTATAAAACATCATGATACACTTTTTTCGAAAAACGCACATACCCATCATATATTGCTACATCAGAATGTCGGTTTCGAATTGCAAAAAAACTTATCATCATCATTATTATTATTATTATTATTATTATTATTATTATTATTACACAGGAATTGGGGAATTTCAAATATTTGCTGTTCTGGTTTTCCGTAGACATATCACTTGACGGCAGTCGCACATATATATGTATACCGTTTTCGAATTGCATATTAAAGTTTAAGCGCTCGGTACACATATTATTGCATATCACACGAGTGCATGACCCGTTTATTATGTCCGCGATAAGCTATTCTTTGCCGTAATATAAAATATAAAGAGACCATTATTGTTCGTGCAATCGTGCCCTGCGGTCGTCGAACGAAACGGAAAACCAGTTGAAAATTTAATTAAAAATTCAATGGGCAATATTGAAGTGCAGTGGGTATGGCGTATCACTGCGCATGATATACACCATAATCACTTTTTTAACTGTGTACATATATATATACACACGCGAGTTATGTCATTCAAATATATATGGGACAGCAGATGTTTGTTGACAAACGATACCTGCTAGTTTTTTTTTTCTGCTATACATTTTCGGATTCTTCCTTATTTTTCGCTGAATCGAAATACAATTACACATCATCTATATAACTGTAATGGGCTGCAGGTATCGTTAAATTATATATGCATAAATTATATATCTACCTGTACGGTAAAAACTAAAAAGTAGGTTAATTTAGGCAAACTTGAAGCACAGTGGATCGCCCGAAATAACGATTAATTTGTTGTGCACATATACTCATTAGTCATTAAATACGTGTACTCTGACACCTACCGCAAATTTGATTATTGGCGATTTTTATGAGATACCTAGTTCAAAATAAATATAATACAATGTTTTATAATTATAAATTTATAAAAAATCAATACTAATTACTGATTATTGAATGATATTTTACTTCCTGCAACTTTAATCCTATAGAACTACGTCTACTATAGATTCTAGATCCTTATACGGATTCCTGCAGGAAACCAGGAATACACTTTCGACTAATACGACTTTCGAAGCAAATGATGGGAAAAACTATAGTCTACTTGTTAACATTTTCTCAGTGTAAATTGCTACCTGCATTCATGGCTTTACTTTACCTGTCATCGGTGAAGTAAAATATAAGTAATATTACTATTATTATTTATTTATTTTTTAATTGATCTTAACCCGGCAACTATGGCCATTAGCTAATAATAATATTATTATTATTATTATTATTATTATTTTTTTTTTATTAAAGAAAAGAAAAAGCCTCACGGATAGCGTGACTATTAGCTTGTATTTACATGATAATTTGTTCTTAAATAATTTAAATTTAAATTGTACAGTTGAATGCGTCTTTCATAAATGAAATTGGATAATAATATTATTACATCATAATGTATTTCGATAAACTTTAAACAATTATTTGTACTCGGTATAACTGCCCTGTCCAATTTTATTGATTTCAATATCCTCTATTTGGTATTAATCTGTCTCTATAGTATACATTGTACCAGAGATACCTAACGTTTTAATAATCACCATATTTTATTTTTTTAAATTTTTTTTTCAAGAAGATAAACCACGTAAAAGTAATATAATATGTTATTGTTATAACTATTGTAAAGACAATCGATAAATAAATAATAAAATTAATTTAAAAATGAACGCAAACACTTTTGTAATTAGCTGGATATTCGAACCACGGACGTTTTTTTTTATCTGTCGATTAAAAGCTACTGATTTCACTTAAAACGGATTGTATAGAAATTATTTTTCGAAATATATTGGACAAGAAGTACGAAAAAGAGACGGGGGCCCTTAATCTAACTCTCCAGCGGCACTAAACCTCCTACTGCAGTTGGCTTTAGAAGGTTTAGACTTTCGGAGAGCTTATTTAGTTTCAACACGCTCTACGATGCCATAGGACGTACAGATGCTTACCTGTTTTTTTTACTATTTAAATATAAGGTTTGTTTGTTCTCGTGGGAACGAAATAAAACGATTTACTGTATCCATCCGGGATTATATAATACTATCTAATATTATGATAGCTAAAACCATATAAACTATAAATCAATACTCGATACAAGGTCAATTTCATTTTTTTGATGTTCTTCAAAAATAATTAACCCTAGAGGCTTGACATTTTTACCAAATATTCATATTTGCTCAGACGAGGCATTATTTTCAAAATATTAGTTTTTATTCCATTTCGGTACTTATGTGGACATTTTTCGGTTAAAATTACTTGAAAACCTAATATACAAGGTTCTATACATATATTATTTCTTGCCGCAATAAAAAAGTATTGAAAATACGTAAATTGTCTTGTAACAAATGCCACTGGAAACTCCTAGAGTAGTAGGTACAAAAAATCTGAAGAATTTGAAATTACGGTATTACAGCTATAATATATACATAGGTACGTACCTATGCATACACGTACAACACTGGTATTAGGTACAAATGGTACGATCATAATATTATGTTGGTTAGGTTCGCTATTATTAGTAATTATTGAAGCAAAACCATGATTCACGTTTCGCTGTGTCGTCAGAGTATACTAATTATTTTGTACAGCTGTATAGGTATCAATCGTATAGGTTTGTGCAGAAGTAATTGTGTTTTATTTCAGTAAAAGAAGATCTCTTCGTACACTCATCAAGGTCTTGGCGCCTGGGAAACAATATAATATAAAAGTTATACACTTCGCCCACACATTTACCCATACAATAATATCGTACTTACATGCGCTTTGCTCAATGCCGTCCACGAAATTGATATGATATTGCAGAGCTCCCACGTGTGAATAAAGAGACCTATGTAGGTATATATAGGTACCCAAATAAAATACGTAAATATACCTATTATGACGTTCTTTTGTATATTATATCGTAATATATATTTAACCAAGTGTGCAGTGTACAAGTTCAAAATGATAATGATTGAACTCGGTAACAATTAAAACTGAAGGATAAAATAGACCTGACAACACCACGGCGACTTCGCCGTATATTCAGAATTGGCCTACATAAAAATTAATGACTCGTGTTGGGGGTACTCATCTATCAATAGATTTACTAACGACTTGAAAACGAATCTTGTGCGCTTAACGATCGTGTATGCCCGCAGGTATGTATTATATATATATATATATTATGGCATAGTAAGTACCTGTAGAGTTATACTTGAGAGTTGAGTTGAGTTCGGTCGAAAATTAACACTGCAGCCGACCTGAGACGAAATGATTTATTTTTGCAAAATAAATCGCTTACGTTCCGGTTAAATTATACAAGTCATTGTTGAGGTCTTGACAGTATTAGATTATTCGGTCAAAGTCTTTGAATCTTTCGCCGGGAGGAGGATGTATACTCGACCATTACAGGGAGTTTATTTCCAGTTTTTGTCAACAGCCCGAGCCGTATATACAATGATGAACATTTACTTAAATGTTATTGTTTTCACTTTGCATCTTCGTAAAAGTTTTTAAACACTCGTATTAAATATTAACGGGTTTAATGAGGAGGATGGGCGCAGTAAACTTGTTTTCATTCGAAGGGCAGAAAATATTGCACGACCCATCAACCCCTGAAAATCTGATACTGAAATGTAATTACACTCGAAGGTCATTCGGTGGCAACTGACAACTGATCGTCGCTGTACCGATAGGTAGTAAACAACCCGATTTAAACTTACAAAAGAAGACATTTATCGATAAACTATAAAGTTTATGTACCCGTATAATATTAAATATATTTGTAATTTATACTCGTAATGATTTGAACGCAACTGTGAACATTATCACATAGGCAGGTACGTTTAAGAGATATTATTATAATATATCTACTGCGAAGAATGCATTTTCCACAGCTGTATATCTCCACGACGATAACGTTACCCATCAAAACGAAGTGGTTAACAAGACCTCACCTTTTAAAAAGGTGTTCCGTGCTTTGTGCGTATAATAACTAATAGGCGATTGTAATTATTGTGAGCAAGGTGATGTCTATTAAATATCAAAACATATTTACTCGCAGTAAAAAACATTAAAGTAGAAAGAAATAATGCGCAGTTGGGAATGGTTACACTCGGTTATATAGGTACCTCAAATGGCCAATATATGGGTACCCGGCCGCTTGTGTAATATACATTAATACGACGGACTGAGAATTTTTTGGCCATATTATTATAATTGTTGACCGTTTGGTAGTTTAAGAGAGTTAATATTTTCTGTTATATTTATATTTCACGGCACTGCACTGTTCTATGTAGTTTTCTGCGTTCCAACTTATTGTATTTTACCTATGCGCACATTGCACTTCATAAAGTAACTAATTACACGACTTATTAGTTATCATTATACTAGCGACCGGGTCACTCGTGATTCATATAATATGTATATAACACAGGTATACCTTTGAAAAGTAAACGATACAAGTCTGACTTAAAGCGACCGAAAATATTGTACCAATACCAAAGCGTGGGCAAGTCAATGATATCTTCTAACCGAGTTGAGTTCAGTTGACAAAGAACATTTAGAAAAGTTTTAGTTAAAGTCAGTAGTTATCCTAATTTTTTTTTAACTATTAGCTTATTAACTTAATACGTTAAGTTATATATATTTTTTTTTCAATAGGTACATAAACAGGCACATGATGTGGTTCAAAATAATAATTGTATTATATTTATAGTCTAGTTATTTACAAACGAATGACGTAACTTGTATGTTTTGATTAAAAGCAACTCGTTATTTACGAAGTTTGTAAAAATCAGTTTAGGTAAAAATAATTAAGTAACGAAAATTAAATTAAAAAAATTCAAGTTAATACTCTTAAGTTAAAATTAACAAGACGAAAAACTTTTAAACTCGTTTACGTCCAGGCTTGCCAATACATATATGCTGATCGTGTTTAACGAGTGAGACACGCACAGCACAATGTGCCTGTAATAAAAAAAAATAAAGCTTTAAGAGAAAAAAAAACTCAAAAATTCCACCGATTAGCCGTGATTACCTGTACGGGTATGCGGTTTTCACACGAGAAGAATATAATATTTTGTCGTCATCAATATCAGGCCCATCTCTTTTGTACATCACCATGATTTTTGTCGTTGTTGCAGATTTTGTGTCTGAGCTGTCTGCTCTATAAGAGATGGTCGGACGCAGAAGCCACCAGACTGTTTTATTTCTTCGAGAAGTCGTCCAGGGAATGGCCTTTGCTGAACAACATCACCAGGAACGGAGCCGGGTCTCTGTTCGCGGATGTGACTTTTGGCGGTTACATAATAATATGTGTGGCGCTGTACATAGCGTACTTGATGGGCGAGCTGAAGAACAGCAAGAAAACTGTAAGTCCACCTGACCGCGCGCCCATCGCAGTAAATAATTATTTATGTACATTGTGTACAGTAGAAGTGAATCGGACGAAGTGAAAACCTTAAAAGTTGCATTTCAAACTGCGCTCGAATCTTAAAAACTGCAGCAGTACAAAATATCCATCGGTCCAGAAAAACCCGTCGACACTTAAAATTTAAAACGTACAAAAATCTTTCAAGTTGCGTTAAGAAAAAACTAAACTTTTAATTATTTTAAATTTTTATTCGTTTACAAAAATTGAAAAAAGATTCATAGAATGCGTGTAAAAAAAGTTTCAATCGACGAGAATCGTTAGAAAAAAAAAAAAA